AGCCTGGTGGCAGGAGATAGTGCAGCCCTGGCTCTGCCTGCTTCCCGCCACCGGGCTGTGCTCTGTGGGGCTGGTGGAGCCGATAAGCGCACAGCCTGGCATCGGGAGGCAGGGAGAGACAAAGCTGTGCAGGGAGCGCAGCCCAGCAGCAGGAGGCGGTGGGAGCCAGGGCTGCACTCCCCGCCAGTCTGAGCCACGTGGGGGTATGCAGAGCCACTGGGAGCACAGCCCTGGCTCTTCCCTGCCTCCCACCACCTGGCTGGGCTGCTGCTTCAAAACTTGAAACTTTCTAAACGTTTTGACTGGCGTCATTTTGTTTCAAGGCTGATTCGAAGCCCTTTGTTTCAATTTTGCTGTTTCGAGCTTGAAACGCATCGAAACAAAACAGCCGGCGAAGTTTCGCGCAGCCCTAACCACTAGCAGAAAGGGAAGCAGCCAAGATGATGGCCACTCCCTCCTCCCTTCACCACTGACTGAGGGCTGCTTTTTCTGCAGCCCCGCCACCCTCTACCAATCAGCAGTGAGGGGTGGGCATTAAGGGCAGCCCTTTCCACCAATCAGTGGCAAGGGGCCAGGCTTCACAAAGGGAAACCCTATTGGCCAATGATGAGCAAGGGGTGGGGGCTCTTGGCCAGTCAAGATGGCGGGGGCGGGACTTGCTGCATCAGTACCACAAAAATGGTGCCAGGCAGTGCAAACAATCCACAATTTTTATTTCCCCTCTGCATGCGTTAAGTAGACCCAACCAGTTATGTATCCACCTTATAGTACTGTTCATAATTACATCATCCACTAGAAGTTGCTCATTTTGATGCTGTTGTGAATAGGGTTTCCAGGACTCAACCTAGCACTTATTACATCTATTTTGCAGCATTTGCTGCTTAAAGAAAAAATATAGCCTTTTATGTCCCAATTTACTTTTTCCATATGCTCTCTAGCGAGTGCTGACTCTGCTGAGAAGGCTTGCCCAAGGGACTCCTGCTCCATATCATAGCTCAGCAGCCTCCTCGTTATGCATCAGCTGTATTTGGTGCCATGTTATAAGAGTTGGCAGAGTGTTTGCAGGGCTTTGCATTGCTGTACCAGGACACATTGGCTGAGTTGGAAGAGACTGGCAGGCTTAATGGGGACCGCAATCAAACTTCTTCTGTTTGCAGGGACATAACTATTTTGCAGCAAGTAAGTGATAGAAGGTAAGGAGATATCAATATCAAAAAAGGGCTATGGGAAACTGTCTAGGGTAGGGGTGGCCAACCTGCAGCTCCAGAGCCACATACGGCTCTTCAGAAGTTAATACACATCTCCTTGAATCTTCGCACAAGCACACAACGTGACATAATGGCTATCAAAGCTGGTCACTGTGTGCTTATGCAAAGATTTAAAAAGATGCATATTAACTTCCGAAGAGCCGCGTGTGGCTTTGCAGCTGCAGGTTGGCCACCCCTGGTCTAGGGTATCAAATCCATCCATACCCCTTAGAGGTGAGAGGTAGGGATTCTCGTTCTGAAAATGAACAATAAATCTGGAGATTTTTTCACCAAAAGAAGGAAGTGAGTTTGGGAAAATGGACAGTGTATAAATGCCTTCATGGTCCCCAACCATTTCATTCCCTTCCCTCTCCCCTCTTCCCCCTCCTTCTCACCCCCAACACCATCCCATGACTGCCAGAGCTATAAAGAACTGATTGTCTTTCAGTTTGGGTCCCTTGCCTCTGGCTTTTTAAGATGAACTTAGTAGGGAACAGATAAAAAAAGATAAAAACATCTGGTTCGATTATGCAAAGTTATTCAGTCATTTCCATAGTACTTTACATAAGATGCTTGGTGTGTGATTGAAGAGCTTTTTTCTCTTATTGTTTGAAACAACTGTTCCAGAAACCGTAGAACTATACAATGTTTGGAAATGAGAGTATCATGGCGGTGTCTTGCCAGACCCTCCATCATTGGTTCTGTTTCTCTCTTTTCCTTCCCCCCACTCTGCTTTGGACTTCACTGCCTTTCAATATAAAGTGCAATATAAGTTCTCTGTCACCTACAGGCACAAATATAAATAGAAGAGGTTTGTAATGGTTGCATATGATTGCTTCACAGCAAGCCATTTGCAATGCTTAAGCATTCAGATATTTTTCTCCTAACTTGCAGCTCAGATTGCAAGCCTTCTGTATATCAGGACACTGCTGCTTCAAACTCTGTTAGAGCAGGTTGGAACCTAGCAGCCAAAAGATTAATAAACCCCATTATACAAGCTTGGCATTAATCAGAACATGGTTATGTCCTACTGCTGACTTTTGGGGCCTTTCTCTGGTCCTTATTTGACAGGGGAATCATTCACCCTGATCTGTTGTCTCTTGAGCGAACTATGAGAAATTGTAAGTTCTGCCATTGCCCACAGAGCTCCTTGCTTTCTGCCTTGAGTGACAGTAGGTAAAGACCCTGAGGCTTATGATTGAGAGAGACATGAAGAAGTGGTTGCTGCAGCAGTGCGGGAGGATAGAGTTCAAATGAAAGGCAGCCTGGAGGATTGTACTTCCAGATAGTAGACCTAGGTTTTGGTGTGACCTTGGGAGGGGAGCGGACTGAGAGCTTCATGTAGAAAGAACCTCTTTGATCTTATGACCAGGGGATATTTTAATGAGATCTGCACTGTTCTTTAGCACCTACTTCATAGTAAGCAGCATTATGACTTCAAGATATAGGAGACACAGAGATATACCCAAGAGTTTGGGAAAATCCAGACAGCTCAAGGATTTGATAGAGCCAAGGATTTCACACACATCAGCTGTGAGGGTCCTGCCCTTGTTCAATATATGCCCTGGTGACTTAGTGCATATGTCCTCTAAGCTGCTACAAGGCTTCCTATGTCCACTGCCTTAAAAAGGGATACGTTAATATGCCATATTTTAACTGATTTAAAATACAAACATGTGTTGGCCCCAAAATCCATCAGAAAACAGGGCTTTGTGGGAGAGCGAGGGTGGTCTCCATGTTTGCAGTACAGCAGGAGAGAATTTGAATGGGGGAGCCTTGTAGGTTCTGAGCTCGTAGTCACTATCTGTTATCTTCCTCTACCTCTGCCGCCCGCCCCCCCCCCCACGCGCGTCCCATGGCGCCGCTCCCCCCCCTCCCCCCCCCCCCCCCCCCCCCCCCAGACGAGCCTCTCATGGCTCCGTCCCGTGCCCTGCCCTGGCTGTGCAGCGTCTGCCTCTGCCCCAACCCCACTTCCTCCCTCACTGTAGGGGCCTCGATCTGCCCCTTCCCCCACAACAGACTTACCAGATGGACACCATTCTCCATGCTGCATATTAGCAATCGGATTGATATTGTCCGATAACGGCTCGTTAAAAATAGGCCATCAGTATCGGCCCAAAAAATGTCTATCAGTGCATCCCTACTAATCTTTTGGTGATCCAGTTTGCTGGACATGTGCCTAAACACTCTCATATACAACAGAACCTTCCACATAATGTTCTCTGTTGCCCTGGCAAGCGAGCCCTTCCTTATATTGCCACATGTTTTCCATGTGCTCTCTGTTGTCCCTGGTTGTCTTCTGTGTTTGTCCTTAGATCAGTGTTCTGCAGGTGACTGAGAGAGCTGTATGGCAGGAGATGGATAACATTCCTGTGGACAAGAGCTTTAAAGCTAAGATAAACCTGCAGATTTAAGATCTAAGTAGTTATTCAGTATATGATAATAGTTTCCTCATTGCTGTCAGTCATCTGGTGCTTTATAAATATTAATAGTAATGATAAATGCTTCTATGAAAGAGCATTGTAGTAGCTGTAGCATTACTTAAATCTGTTTTAATCAGATACTGTTGCATGATCCCAGCTTTTAGCCAGCGTAGTATGCCATAAGCTGTCCCCATTACCGAATTCTCTCTTGAAAACTCAGAAGTGTACATCATGCTTAACGTCTTTTAGACAAAGAATCCAAATGTGTTGGTTTTTTTCTGAGGAAGTTAATGGTAAGCCTAAAAAGCAAACAGTGACTGAAAGGTGAGCTTCAAGGAAACACAGCTTCAGAAGAAGAGTTCCAGCAGGGAAACAGAGCACAAAGGCAGGATTTGGAATTCAGGTCGTTTGAAGTGGAGCAAGTTTGGCAATATTAGCTGCGCATAATCCCAGTGAAGTAGCTTAAATAGGATAATTATTGAACCAGTGCATTATGTTGTGACCTAAAGTTAAATCTATTATCTGTCAAGTTACTCCCATGGACCAATGGAACTCTTTTATTCCCTTGTGGGCAGAGCACTCATTGGAGGAAAAACGCATGCTGCTGAGTTGTTATAGGGGGCAGATGAGAAGTGGATGCTTCTTTCTTTTCTCCTCCCAAGGCATTGAAATTAGTCACCCCTTAAAGGAAACATAGCCAAGAAGCATTTAAATAATTCTAGTCTTTTTTTTAACATTTATTTATTTATTCTTTTCTGTGGTTGGTAATGACTCCCTAGAAACCCAAAACTGAAATGAGCTTCCCTGTCGCTTTATATTTTTTTATCCTCTATCAGTTTCCCTCCACCTGGTTCTTATAGAACTGTTTAAGACTGCTCATGGGCAGCATGGTGGATTGAAGGGGAAAGTGCTGATGCATGAAACTCAAGGACAGTTTCACAGATTTTTTTAAAAATTAGATAGGCTCATGTGTGGCCTGTAATTTTCATGTATCAACCTGGAAAATATCAGTTCCCTTCCCCAACCCCCCACTGCCTCTTTTAATCCCATTGGCAGGGGGAGATCAATTAAAATTTGTTTATTAAAAGCGTTACAAGGTGCCCAGCTGACTTTCCATCTTCTCTCCAGGCCATGCTGTTAGCGTTAGAAACCCACCATTTTTTGTACTTTCACAACTTATGGTTCAACAATCAATCCTGCATGTAGTGAGTGAGTGAGACCCTCTGGCAGTGATTAAGTCAAATGGACTTGAAAACCCTATTCCTAGCATCTGACACTTTGCTTAAACAAACTCTCTCTTTCTCTCCTTTCCCTCCTTTCTCTCTTTCAGCTTGGCAGTGACCTTGGCGGGGGCATTGGCGGAAGTCCGGCAGTAAGTGCCATTCCATTTTTTTTCCCAACAAAGCCCCCTCGCACATACCATGTTTTTAACATAATCTTTCCCCACACATCTGGCTGCTTTAATAACCAAAAATGCTTGGGAACACAGACTGCTGTAACCACCAGGGATGGTAGGCAGGTCCTTCGGTCCCAAGCTACATTGTGTTAAGATAAATTCTTCAATACTGGTATCTCTGGAGAGAAAGCTGTCTTCCAACTCTGCTGAACAACAGAGGGGTGCTGTAATCTCTGCTGGCTATCTTTTGTCTCCTGGTGGTGGTGGTAACTAAGTCCTTTGAAGAAATGACCTCACTTGTGGAAAGGAGGCTCTCGTCTCCTGGCATGCAGATGAGCCTAGACTCCTAACTTGTGTGCAGGTGAACCATTTGTAACCATGGGATTAAGAATAGAGAACTCTAGCCTTTGATGGGAGGTCATGACCATGTGCTTCCAGGTGCATCATGACTCCCTTACTATTTCTGGATGTGGAAAGTCCTTCAGTAAGACCATGAAAATTAGCACAGGGAAAGGGAACAGATTGGGATCCTCTTGCCCTTTTCTCAGATCTGAACAGAATTGTTCCCTTATGCCTGCTCTCTCACCAGCCTCCCTCCATGGAGACCATTCTGTCTGTTTGTGAGGACAGGAGGATTGTTAGTGGTGATTTCAAGTCCATCACATGGTTGAGGTGACAGCACAGATTGCAGGGTTCAGTTCCCCAGAGCCTTAGAATTCATATACATTATTTAACACTATTGATAATTCAGCAGGGAGGCTGCAGAGTGCTTTAAAATATTCAGGTTATTTCCCGAGTTCATGCTTTATTTAATAAGCAGCATTCATTGTTGGTGATGTTAATCGGTAACCTTTCTTAACTCCTTCAGGTGGGGCAGACCTACATTCCATCCTCCGTGCCTGCCACTTTCGCCCCTTCGCCCACCCCAGCTGTGGTGAGCAGTGGACTCAACGACCTATTTGAACTCTCATCCGGTATAGGCATGGCCCCCGGTGGATATGTGGCTTCAAAATCTGTACGTAAGAGAAACCTTACTGCAGCACGTTGCTTGACACTGGTAGCATAGAGCTCATGAGGTTCTTCAGCTATTCCCTTTATTGTGCCCTTTGCCGATCTGGGACAGGCTAGTTGAATTCCATTCCATTAGACAAATCCTCTTTCTTCAAGTGTGATAGCTGTTGAAGGCAAGTATAATCAGCCAGAGATTTCAGTTTTCACCAGTTCCCTATTTTTGCCTGTAACATGATTACACTAAGGAAGGGTTTGTAGGAACTGTTACAAGTTGAGTTAGCCCTTTGCCCCAAAAGAAGCAGGACCACCAGACTTAATGCCCTTCAGTTAGCATTGATATTAATTGCAAAGTCTTTTTAAAAGAAATTATCTTACTTGAGGGATAAAATGAATCCACGTAATTGGGGTGAGTGCTAAGTATGATACCAAAGTACCTACCCTAACTGTGAAAGAGATGGCAAACACACCAAGAGAAGTTGCTTTCTCTTAAGGGTTTCACACTCAATTTTTCTAACAGACCTTTGGCCAAACTGATGTACGTGACTGGAAAACGGAAGGCATGCCAGTTAAGAACAACTGTTGGAGCTGGTGTTAGGCTTATTCCTGCCCCAAGACACTCTGAAGTCCTTCGTTCCTTATGTTATTGGTGTGTTCACCAGATTCCCTTTTGGAGCCTCCTAGTGCAACAAAACCTTGCACTTTTGTTAATCCCTATTATGGAGCCAGAAAATAAACAAGCTAAAATCTTCTGTAATATAAAATCCATGTGTATAAACAGCAGCTGATTGTATGCCAAGTTTTCAGCATGCTTGTGATCACTTGTACTACACCAAGTAAAAGATAGTGCACAAGAGGTCATGGCAAATGTCAAGCTAAAAACAATATTGCTACTGAATCAATTGTACTTAAATCCAGGATTCTCCACAGATATTTTTCAGTATAAACAAATAATCTACCTCCTCATTTTCTTTGGTTAAACATTGTACTGCCTCTGATAACCACCAGGTTCCCTGAAGAAATCTGCGTCTTAATTATATTGGCCTCATTTTAGAGTGAAAGACAGTAATCCGCTGGTATATCTAAGCACTTAAATGTTACTGAACACTTCAGGGTTCCAACAAGCATTGTAAACCAGCAGGAACGCTCATTGTTGAGCCTCATTGATTCAGGTTCCCACCCCCTGCCTCTCTTGTACACATGCACTGCAGCATAGTCACTGAGTGAATTGGCTTAATTACTTTTGGCCTTTAGCCATTCAAAATCTACATGGGATTGAATATGTTTCTCCAAGTCAAACATCATTCATGCTGAAGGCCCTTTCTTGTTGCATTTCAGGTTTGGTTGCCTGCTGTGAAGGCTAAAGGACTGGAGATCTCTGGTACATTCAGTCACAGGCAGGGACACATCTACATGGAGATGAACTTCACCAATAAGGCTTTGCAGCACATGACTGACTTTGCCATTCAGTTTAATAAGAACAGGTAAGGAACCCACATGCCCAGCCTGTGTGGTAGGAAAGTAGCATGCTCATGGGTTAACTGTATCAGTTTCCATTTGCTGGCTGAACAGAAGGTGAAGTGCTCAAAAATAAAGGCAAATATCTATGTTAATTCCACTGAATATTCCCAGGCTGTCAGTGACACAGTGAAAAAAAATAATATCAGTGTCTAGTTATTTAAACTCTTGTTGTCTGTAGTTACCTGCTAACCATGGGTGTAAAGCATCAGTGCAGTGAGGTTAAAAGCATAGTGCAGATCCTTCCAAAGGTTTTTCCCTCCTCCACTTTCTCTCCAATGAGAGGAAGGATTGTGGGGTTACATCTGTTGGGAAAATACCAGAAGTGTATCATGCAGCAAGTTGTGATGAACTTCATATTAGCTCTGAGTGGGATTTTAAAGCCTTTAACATTGTCCTATTTTTTTTTTTTTCTATTGAAGTCTACAGTAAAAGTTCCAGTGACTTCAGTGGTAGCTGTTAAACTGCATCTGAGGGCCTTTGACAATTCCACTCTATATGTCTAGTTTTAATAACTTTGGTAAGCAGGGCCTTTCCTGTTCATCTTTGCCTGTCTTAAGGGAGCCTGTGCAGTGGGCTATAAGGTAAACAAGGCACTTTTTAATAGAAAGTCGACCAGTTGTGGCCATTTGATCCCAACTTTTTTATTTCTATTGGTACGTTCTTCAAGGTAAATTGATAAGGAACAACTATAAGAACCAAACAGGCTTTAATGTAGATGTCCTGAGAAAGGTAGGTTTAATATCATGTGATGAAGAATTCAGGCAGTGCGTGTATGAGCTACAACAGAAAATTGATCCATATGTAGTGTTTTTAATGTAGTCTGATCTCTACAGTCTTCTCTGCCCCAGTGAGGCAGCAAGTAGATGGTCCCCTCAGTCTCCTAGCTCTGAAGTTGCAGCTGCTCTTGTTTAATCCTCTAAATGTTTTAAATAGCCCCTAAACTCATAGGACTGGAAAGCATTTTATGTCTAGTAAAACCTTAACCAAAGATAGCTAAGTAGGCAGGAGTTGAGTCAGCCAATACCACAGCCCCCAGTGAGTAGCTGAATGACTTCATTAACAAGTTGGAGTACAGCATCCCAACAAGAGTTAAACTGCCTGGAAAAATAGTTTTTTCTGATAAAGTATTTGTCAGTGAACAAATCACAAGGCAAAATAGCTCAGGGCAAGAATTTTACCAATAGCAGTTGGGGAAATTATTTTGCCAGAAAGCTGCCACTTGCAGTGGAGGAGAAAGCTGAGAGCATACAGACCACTATTCACAAACCAGCCCTAACAAAAAGATATTAACAAGCTGCAAGATCACCTCTGTTCTCCTTCATCCCTATACCTGCTTCAGCTTGAGGTGGAAGGGTTGCCATAGCTAATGCTGCACAATATCTGGGGGAAGCACCATGACCTCAAGTTGGCTAGTGTGTACAGGGCCTTCATTTCATAAGAGGAAATGCTCTGTCAAGCTGCAGCTTTCTCTTTTCTGTAGTCACAGCGTTGACTGTAGCAGGGCACTAAGGTGCCTGCTACTTGGAGATTCGGGATAACTCCTTAGGTGCCAGTTGCTGAGGCAACCAGAGGGAACTAGTGACCCACACCTGCCTAGTCAGCTGACAAGAAGGGGCAGGGCCTGGCTCCTATATAAATCATAGGCGGGAGGCCAGGAGACAGTTCCCTGCTGGCAGATAAGGGGGAAGGAGCTCTGCCTGAGCGAGCAGAAGGAAGAGCCCTGAATGCATCAGCCGTTTGAGACTGGTAAAGGATGGAGCACCCTAGGGGTGGCTGGATTAATGTTATAACCGGACGGCTAGAGTTTGTGTTGTAGCCCAGGGGCTTGTGTTTTGTTTGCTGTTTGTAACCGGCGGTTTGGGTGAGGCTAAGAGGGGATGGAGGAGGCCTCATAGGGGACCTGTAGCAGCGGGGGAACCCCAGCCCCAGAGGGTGGGGGCAGCAAGAAGCGCCGGAGAGGGCGCCGAGAGAGGCAGGACCACGGAGAGGGCGCCGAGGGAGACAGGGCCGCGGGGAGCCCGAGCGCAGGAGAGGGCGCCAAGGGAGACACGGCCGCGGGGAGCCCGAGCGCAGGAGAGGGCGCCAAGGGAGACAGGGCCGCGGGGAGCCCGAGCGCAGGAGAGGGCGCCAAGGGAGACAGGGCCGCGGGGAGCCCGAGCGCAGGAGAGGGCGCCAAGGGAGACAGGGCCGCGGGGAGCCCGAGCGCAGGAGAGGGCGCCAAGGGAGACAGGGCCGCGGGGAGCCCGAGCGCAGGAGAGGGCGCCAAGGGAGACAGGGCCGCGGGGAGCCCGAGCGCAGGAGAGGGCGCCAAGGGAGACAGGGCCGCGGGGAGCCCGAGCGCAGGAGAGGGCGCCAAGGGAGACAGGGCCGCGGGGAGCCCGAGCGCAGGAGAGGGCGCCAAGGGAGACAGGGCCGCGGGGAGCCCGAGCGCAGGAGAGGCCGGGGAGCCCGAGCACTGGAGAGGGCGCCGAGGGAGACAGGGCGCCGGGGAGCCCGAGCACCAGAGAGGGCGCCAAGGGAGACAGGGCCGTGGGGAGCCCGAGCGCCGGAGAGGGCGCTGAGGGAGACCGAACAACGTCAGTTACATCTGTGAGGCTTGGGGCATGGTACAGGGATGGTTGGAGCCACGCATAGCCCATGAGACTGGGGTGCATAGAACACCCAGTACAGAAATAGGATAAGTGATAACAGGAGAACCATGGCCAAGAGGATGAAGGGCAGCCTCCCTATAAAATTCATATGACATCAGAGTCGTGGTGGACAAGGATTTGAGGGTGCTTGTCGGCAACTTGGCACGGTAAAGGAGAAAGGCAGGGGAGAGCACAGTGACCCTGCCCGCCCTGCTGTTACATTGACCTTAGAAAATTATACTTGCTTGAGACATACAATAGTTACTTATCCACAATGTGATCAAGCCTGAATGTATTTTCTTTCTAAATTCCTGTACTTTTGCAAAGCTACAATCAACAGGTTTTATTCCACATGTTTGCCTGACTTGAATATATTATGTTATAGTTTTTCACTGTATAAAGCCCTATTTTACCTTTGGGATTCTATTCCAAAGCATGTACAGTATGTGTAATATAATTTGCAGTGCATGGTGATCAACCCATATGGCTTTTGTACAGATCAGCTCATATTATTTACACTACACATAGACCATCTGAATCATACAACAGTTTGGCTTCCTTATAGTTTTTGAGCAGGTAGCAATTGGTCTTGATGATCTTGTGATCTTGTCCTCTACCTCCCATGACAGTCCCAGGAAGACTTCTTTTCTGTCTCAGCTGGCACTGTCCCTTTGGAAGATTTTCATCCTCCCAGGCCATCCATTCCTTTTTCAATCCTCCTGAAGTACCTCTTCTGCCTTTACTGCTTTTTACTATGCTGTGCCTGGCTCATTCTGATCAGACCTGACAAAGCATAATTTGCATTGGAAAGCTTGTCTAACTCTCTCCCAATTACATAGTTGTTCCAATAAAAGATTTCACTGTAAGAAATCCTTTTCCTCCCTCAACCATTTACGTTCAGATTTTGCAACAAACATAGTTAATAGCCCTGTAGCCTAGTATAATTTGATGGCTTAGGGCATTAGAGGTCAGCAGAAACTCAGCCTGTCCAGTAAGATGAATCAGGTGAACCAAGGTGAGGGATGGGTTTTAAGGACAGTTCACCAGAATGGCAGGGCCTCAGAGCGTGTTGCTAAATAACCAGATTCTATCCAGGAGCTATCTGTTCAGGAAGCCCATGGACTGAAGGAGTGAGGGCTGGCTGAATGAGCCCCAGTGAAAGCTTCCCTTCCCATTCATTCTGTAGTTGTAAACGGTCCCCATTTCCTCTTCATTCCCAGTTATCCCAACCCTTTCATCTTTTTTTTTTACTTTGCTTGTCTTCCTGTTGCTGCTTCCTGCCCCACTTGGCTTATGGGGGTGAGTTTCATAGGAATCGCCTTTCCTTGCAAATGTGGCACTTTCTCCATAGCAGTGGTTGTAAGGCCAGTAAAGGGGAAGGTTCCCTTTCCTCATGATACTAATTTGTACCCACTGCAGTCCAGGGTGCTTGTTCACCCCCTAAATCAATGCAGTAAGAATTCCCAGCATTTTTAGTGCACTCATTCCAACAGCATCTGTCCCCTGGCCTGTGATATGCAGCCCACGTGCCCATAAAGGCTTTGTTACCAGGGCTTGTTACATAGCATGAAGGTCAGGCAGATGGGGAAAACAAATCTAGGGATGGGGCACTCTTTACTGAAAATATCCTGCCTTTGCATCTTAAATTTAGGGAACCTAGGAGTGAGCCCTCTTTCCTGAGAATACCCTTCCTTCAGGTCTAAAGATCTTAAATTTAGAGAACCTGATAGAAAGTGCCTTAGCTAAGCTCAGCTGCTGGGACAAGTAGGTATAGGGAGACAAAGTGACTAAGGAAAAGAGCGTCCAAGGCACCTAGGGTTTTGGATCTAAGTTGGGGGAGCCAAGCCATGGTTCATGATCCTCATGTGGCTCCTGGGCTGTTTGGAAGTGGCTAATATTAGAGAGAAGTAGTTAACTAAAAACATTCTTTCTCTCTCTTGCTGGTTATTATTTTCTACTTTTGATTTTCTTAAATTCTTGCTCATTTATTTAAATTATTATTTGAGTAGGGCCAGGGCTTGCAATCTTCTGATTCTGGGACATGCCCATTTTCAAAGTTTTTTGTTTTCTGCAACTCTTGGTTTTAGTCTGTGGCTAGAAGGTTTAAAAAGTTTGGCTACCCTGGTGCCAGCTCACACCTTGACTTGTACGTGAAGGAAAGCCAGTGCAGAGTGCATGTTCTGTATAAACCCCACATCTAAGTAGAAAGCATATGTTGTTAAATATCTTACGTTGAATAGATGAGTATAAATCCCATCCACCTTCATGGGACATGTTTCTCCATCTTGAGGAGTAAAGAATAAAGCAGAGACCCAACATCAAACCCATCTGCTCTCATGGAGAACCAGCCATCCAGTAGTGTGGAGGGCCTGCCTTGCTTAATAGCACTGCTGGTGCAAACTATGATTTCTGCCTTGGGTAGCTATTTCTCTATGCCCTGTACTCATTCCACTTCCCTCCTTCCTTTGCTTCCAGCACTCACAGCTTTGATCTATGGCCCAGAGCATCCTCTTCCTTTTTCATGAGAGAAACAGATGCAGAGCGTCTGTTAAAGCGCC